TGCAACTTAACAACTTGTACTTGGGACGTTCCAGCTGGTGCCAGTTCCTGTGCAATACGGGCGTTTTCATTCCTAACGTAAACAAGTGCTCTTAAGTCACACATAAAGGTTTTTCAGTCCAGCCTGCGCACACAGTAACCCAATATCAGGGCAAGCACCAGATTAGCACCTTTACTCTCTCCATCATGGCATCTACAACAAGCTTTGGGAGCTATTCTAGCATCCAGAGATCATTATGTACAACAGTTTTTTGGTTGTGTGTCTTCCATCTGCACAAATGCTTCTTCCATGTGATCAGCAGAGACTGTGAAGGGCTTAGTGTGCAGCTGGCCTGCCCCATGCTGCCTGGGAACTGCCTCTGCCCTGAGAGGGCTCCTGGTCTTAGCACCCTCACAGCTGTGGCCACTGCAGAGCATCAGGAGAGAGGACAAGGGTCTGGACCCTGCCAACTGAAGACACTCACAAACAGCATTGCAGTCCCTGATGCGTGAGGCATTAAGTTGGCTTACATCCAGGTGTGAGGAAGAAGCTGCAAAGTTTAAGGCTTTTTAAAGCAGTATATGTGACTATATATTTAAAGGTAGCCTTGCATGTACAGCTCACTGTGCTAGAAAATTATACAATATGCAGTCACAGAGAGGGGCTGAGACCTAACTACTTTTTTTCATATCACTGCAAATACTTCATGAGTTACTCAAAGAACAGTATCCCAAACTCCGCATTTTTACTATATTGTAAGACATTATTCCGTCTTCCATAAACAATTTGTTTTCATCTGAATACCCCTTGCGGTCATCACTAAAGTATATCTGGAAAGCTTGTGCAAAGTTCATCACAATCATGTTGAAAAGGTAGCCTCAACTCAGGTTGCGTAGATCACTGTGATTTAGACCAGGTCTAAATGGCAAGAACTAGCTAGAGCCAAGTAGACTAGCTTGACACTTTGTCATCATGCGTTAAGCTGTGCAACTGCCTGCTTCATGAAGCCATAAATGACAAGTTTTAAAAGCGCCTTGGCATATTCCTGGCAGAAAAATTCACTGACAGCTACAGAGTACAAAGGTGCTGCTGCTTCTCAAGAAATTAGAAGGCACTGGAAATCAGGGAAACAGAGGAATATTAGCATTATATTTTTGCTTTTTTCTTCTGGCCTCCCTTAAGCTTATGTTGTTGGCTACTGGAAGCCAGAGTAGATGGTCATGTTTTAGTTCTTAGGGATGAAGATCAGTGTATTGCTAAGGGAAGCATTTAATGGCTGGGACGGCTGTCAGTTTTTGTACAGTCTTAGTATCAAAATTGACAGTCTTTGCTACAAACACATGTACCTGTATTGCTCTGGTAGCAGACAAACTGTAACACAAGACAAACCGGTCCAAAGTATCACAGAGGAAACAATCCGTGGATCCAGTCTTGTCTTCCACATAATTTGATTGACTAAGGTGGTCTTCAGACTCGTCGTAGGGATCTGCAAATAGCAACAGGGAAGAGGCAGTTTTACATCATTAGGGCTAGGTGAGGTAGTAAAAGGTCATAGCCCTGCTGCAAATTTTTAGAAGCTTGATGATTCAAAAGGTAGGAAAGGTTTGCACGGCTTTCTTGTAGTTGAGATAGCAGCAGTTCTCCACCCCCAAGTTCACAAACTGAACATCTCTCAGCTTGGTACTCCTACAAGGAGCAAACTCAAGTACAGTTTCCTATTCTGCAGATGTATTCAGGATGATTCAGCTGATCCACATTTTATTTACTGTTTTATTTTTTTAAGGACATGTTAGTGACGTAGAGGCAGGGGCATTGCTATGAAATAGGCGTCCAGGTGGCAAGAGAAGCACCACTTCCCTTGCTTTGTTTAAACCTCCCATGAGCAGTGGCACATGCCAGCTCTCTGACCCTGTATTACAGTAACCATCCAAGCGAGGCATCCTTCACCTCACCTGGTGACCATGCAGTAAGGTATCTGTGCTCCAAAAAAATGCTACTGAAATCACACCCAGGAGTATTGCATGTCCAGAGTGGAGAGACCCAGGCACAGCACAGGATCCACAGGCTTCCTGCAGGCTGTCCCTCAGCAGCGGCATGGCAGCAGCGGTCAGGCTTATGAACATCATGGGTACACTAGCATAATTCTCCTTGGAGAAATCTTAGCAGAGTTACACTGACCTGACAAGCGCAGTCTTGTTTGCACAGAAGCACTGAACCATGGCATGCCTCACGCACACCCACACATGTATTTATTCACATTCACTTCCCTGTGAAAAAATAAATGCATGTTAACAACAGTGGATCTTGACTAGCTTGTAGGCAAAGGGTTCTTTGGTTTAGGATGCTGTTTAGCATGTAGGAAAAGTGGAATCTGTCAATACCAGTTACACAATGATCATTTCTGTCACCTCAAGCGTGACAAGCCTCATAGATCAAGTAGAAGTCTTACTCTGAGGTGGGCAACCATTGCTACTTGCACAGACATGCAAGAAAAATCACTAAGGAAATTGTAACCAGCAGTTCCAAAATTTTCACACTACATCAAATTTGCCTCATAGTTTTCACAAATGGGCTTTATTTTTATTGTCAGGGTTAGATTACTAGAACTGTTGCTGACTCTGTCAATGCTCGTAGCAAATGGGTTGGAAAATGTGTTGGAAAAGGACAATGGAGATGGAGACTTGGCATTTCAGGATTGCCTTACCTGCTAGGCTCTGGGTTATTCCAGGGCAGGTTGTCCTCAGGCTTCTCTGCTACGGTTATTTTACTTCATATAAAAACCCCAAATCACCAAGTAATCAAGTTATTTTACTTCATGTCATAGAAAATACCTGAACCACCAAATAAGCAAGCAAGCCAAGGTATGAGGGCACTCTCCAGGCAATAGGAAACATGAATTTGAATCCTTAGCAGAAGGTATTGTTCATAAAAAGCTTTATTTTTCTCTTATTTTGGGAGCAATCAGTTCAGTTCACTGCAGGCTGAATTGCAGTATTTCTTCACTGGCTCAGATCAAAGCCAAAGCAAAAAGAAAAGCTGGCTATGCAGACCAGCTCTGCTTCCAGGTTTTCAGACCAAGGTGACTGAAATGGAGTTTTCCAGGGTAGTAGTTCCTTTCCCAGGCAAGCTGGAGCTGGTAGCATACTGGCTTCAGCATAAGATGACAGGCTTCAGGTAGGCTACTTTCCAAAACTTGTATGTCCCACATGCACCTGGTGTGGACCACACACCCTACGCGAACACAATTTATTGCTGCGTGGAAAGGATGGACGGGTGCTGAGTGGTCAAGCAGCACAGCTAGATGAAACCATTCCATGCCACTGCGCTGCTACAAGACTTTGGTGGAGCTTTGTGAAGCTTTGTAGTGTAGAGAAGGGCAAAGTGACACAAGGCCAAGGGGAGGTGTTTTGCTGGCTGGCTTAATTTTGTGGCACGCCACCCTCCACCATAGCCCACACTTCCCACAACATCTGCAACACAATCAATCAGACAAGTAAAAAGCAATGGAAAAGGTTTCTTTACGTAGTTTGTAGGAGAGCCAGAAAGACAAGGAGAAAGTATGTTCTTCACTCTCCTAGAAAGAGAATTCAAGTCCACTTTCTTCACCTTACTAGTAGCGTTTCTTGTTCATGCCACACCTAAACACTGTCCCAGTTCAGCCAACAGAGAAAAACAGTTATTAAGTCAAATACAGCTTAGGTCAAACTGGAGCACTGCATACTGGTTCTGTACTATAGATGAAGATGATGGCAATCAATTACCATTTCAAGCAAATCAGATCCAGACATGAAGGTCTTGGAAGAAAGCTAATTTAGGTCTCATTTGGCCAAAACTGAGGCAGCTGCAATGTCAACAGTAAGTACATTTTTACTGTGAGGTTGTCCTGGTTTGAGCCAGAATAAACCAATTATTTTCAGTGATTTTACTGCACTTTCTGAAGTTAATGGCATATTTTTCCAAATATGCCATTTTCCACACTTCTAGTAGTGATAGCGCTTGATGTTTATAGTTACTACTTGCTTATACTTGCCCCCATAGAAACCAAGGTGACTGCTAAATCTTGTGCCCCCTTGTGCACCAACCCCTATGCTGGTGTGCCATAAAGTAAGAGTCTAATGAAGTAAAAAGGTTGCTTCTGCGGGAATGAGTGGACAGGACAGGTGAACCAAAACTGACCAACTTAAGTATTTCATTCCACATACTTCATATTCAGCATAAACCTGAGGGATCACAAGGGTTAAGCACTTTTCTTCAATGGCTGCTGTCAGAGCAGGACTCTGTCCATTCTTCTGCCTTCAGTGCAGTGCGTTTCTGAATCCAGTCCTCAAATCCAGCTCCTGTGTCTGGTTCCCGTCTGTTGCCAAGTCCAGCCTGGGACTTCCCTAGTGATGTATCATCATCAGGGAGGTTGGGTTTGATATCGAGTTTGTATGTATTTGTATATATTTCATTACTTTCTTATTAATATTATTGTATTATCTTTTATTGCTGTTGTTTCATTAAAGCTGTTTTAGTTTTCTTTTCCAACCCGTAAGTCTCTCTCCCTTATTGCCCCTCTTCCCCTTCTGGGAAGGGAGAGGTGTTAATAGACAGCATCTGTCATTTGTTTATGGCTAGCTCAGCCCTAACCTGTGACAGAGCTCTATTTAATTAAGACAGATTATGGCATGCTATAGTATGCACCTGCAGGCATCTATGCATTTAACACCGCATGTGATCTAAGGAAGTTCCTTCTTTCATATGATGTCAACCTAAAAGACAATTTCTCTTTAATTTCTCCATTTTAAATTTTCAGTCATTGAGCAATAAATAGCACTGGAAAGCAGAGGAAGACGCTTACCCATCAATTAATTTCCTTTATTTCACAAGCTTTGAATTCAGAAATTGAACCACAACTAGTAGATTTTGATACTGTAGAGTAAGTAAAAATGCATGTGATTACAAAGGAAAAACTTTGTACAAAAAACTTTAAAAATCCGACGGCAACTTGGATTATCTGTAAGTACCAAAAATCTCATGCAGAAGGAGAGCACTACTGCCCAGGTGGAGAAATCCCTGCAGGGGTGGCAATGGCATTGGTATGTATAAATTATCGCTCTGTCTAAAATGGAAACAAGAAGGACACAGACTTGGAACATACTGAGTGGGAACAGACAGGTGCTACAGAGACCATTTGTCATTACGTGTCCCGATGATTTTCTGTGTCTGAGAGAAGTGCTTCTTGGGTTTATAATAAATTAAAGATTAAACAGAAGCTGCCTATACTACTCTACTGCATACTTTCAAGATGGCCATTTTCTTCCTTCATAAGTGTTTTTGGTAGTGTTTCTCAAATACAGACATTAATCTTGGCATTGTGTCTAGTCAGTTGTTGGCAACGTGTTCTAAAGGGACTCACTCACAGAATGCAACTTGCATAAATAACTCAGTAACATGCAATAACTACTCTAATACAGCGAAAGGGTGCAAAGGAATCATCATTCAGTTACGAGACGAAGCTAAAACCTGTAGTCACTAACGGGGCAATGGTGCCATGCTTTAAGGTGACTATGGCATGAAAGCACAATTGTGAGGCAAGTAGTTCCAAGCAAACACACCACACTATTATCACCTCTTCCTATACAAAAAAAAGACATTTTGTTTTTTATTTCCATTAGTACCAAATAAAACTGTGGGTTCGGTAACACAGATATTGAAGGGAACGGACGTTATTCCCACGATCCTTCATCCTTGTATTTCTGTCCATCAACATTTTTCAGCCAAGACTGGTAATATTAGAGCGACCACCAGGAGGTGCCACGATGCGGTGGCCAGTACGGCGTGGGTTGTTGTCATCTATCTGAGCTCCTGCAACAACAGAAAATTAGGAAACAAAGCTATGAAAAGGAATAAACCAACAGCAGTAAGATTCTACCTGGCTAGTTCCAGCTACGCTTCCCTCACACCACCATCAGCTGGCTTCTCTTGAGCCAGACCTCTGACTGAAGTACTAAACAGACCTTCAAGGCACATTTCTGTACCTAGCTCCAGTTGTCTTCAATGAGAACTGTAGGATTAAATGTTTGGGATCATATTGATGCTCACCCTACATGGGGAATTGTTGTCCACTGACTTGAAGAAAAGCCCATGTAGGGATGACAGCCTACAGACTGGGTTCCCTTCATGAGATCAGACCTTGACAGAAAATATTAGTTATAGCTACAAAAAAACCCCAAAAACGTGTTATGTGCAGGGTCGATTTTTCAAACCTGCCTCATTCATTTTGTCCCTACTGAGTCCATGGGTCAACAGTACAGTAAATCTGATGTTAGTGATCATAAATCCATGAGGAAAGAAGCATTGAGCTGATGTAACTCACACCCACTTCAAACTGCATTTTTAAATGTTGAAAGGTTAAGCTTAAGGTGACAGCGAGCTTTCTGCCAGGCTAAATATTGTCTCAGCTTTCTAAAGGAAATGTAAGACTACCATAAAAGCATAGGATGATTTTAAATGCTATCATAGTCTCTAGTTCTGTTTAATTTCATAAGAACGCAGTAATGTGCTTTTGCCTGATTTGGATCAAATTGATACCAGTAGATGCCTTGGTAATACCCAGATCCAGAAGCGGACTGTGAAACCACAGCTTCAGATCCTTGTGAAAATCCCACTTATCTGTTATTATTGTTAGATATCAAATTTGTAAGCACGTTTTATTGCTTTATATAGATTTACATATCTGTATGTGCTCACCATGGCCCCAGGTGTATGGGCAAAAATAAACTCACCAGAAGCAGTTTTTAAATATTTGCTTTCTTCCAGAAGTTGTATTTAGTTTCTAAACAGCATCTGGCAGGGAGAAAAACTCCACCATTGGCTCCCACAGGGGAGAAAATCCAGTGACTTTCTTAACAACATCATAAGAAGTCCCCTGTTTACCAATTGGGCTGCAGACTTTTGAAGGATATGGGTTTGACACTCTTGTAATTATCTTCAAATGACAAGAATTGGTTCCAGCAACCCCAAAGGATGATTTCCCAGTCTGTTTCTCATGTACCATGGAAAATATTTCAGGCACCAAGAGCAAAGACAAGAAATACTCTAATCTGTGTATGAATAGCTTCTGCACATGGTTTCCTGACCATGGACAAGAACAGTTGAGGTTTCCATGTCTAGCAGTTTTAGGGTGATGCAGCAAGAAAGAAATCTGAGATGTCTGAGCCACGCTGAGTTGCACCAGGCCCAAGTCTCACCAGCTGTGTACACCACCAAGGGGCGTCAGTCACATCAACCAGAGACCTCCACGAACTGCAGTGGGTCAGGTAAATAATACTAAAGGCTGCATGCAGAGAAAAATTTTATATTGCAAACATTCTGAATATTTGAGAACTTGTAAAATATTCCTACGGAAATAATGTGTAAAACATATATATGCATACATATATGTGTGTTAGTATACACATATATATGAGTATATATAATTTTTTCATATTTGATAAAATAGGTAATTATAAGTGAAATTTATCACCCATAATCCATACTCACGGCTTTAAAACATTTCTGATGAGTCAGGCTGACTTACCTGATAAGCTAAAATTAGATTGATGGAGGTTTCTGATTGGTGGAGGCTGGTTTTTGGCAGGGGAGGATTTAGTTGAGGGTGCAGGAGTTGCGTATTTTGGCGTAGCTGGGATTTCATACACAGGCCCATCATACATTCCTCTGGAGACTCCTTGTAGTCCTCCCACCTAGATCAAAAGGAGAATAAAAACCCAGACACTGAATGCCTTGATAACACTCCCTAATGATAGACCTGCCTGTATGCAGAGACAAGAGTACAGAGCTATACTCTCCATTAGCTGAAGTAAAAACGCATATGCATTCTCCTCAAAGCTACAGTCTGCTTTATACATAAAATTATAAACCCTCCTCCCTCCATTTTTATATATACTTAAATTATAAGAGACAAATCCTTACTAAGCATCTTTCAGAGTCAATGGGGAGAAATAAGAGTCAACAGATCTAACCTAATATCTTTATTTTAAGTAATACTTGTCACCATCACCTCTTCCCTCTCTGTTCAGAGGATGTTCAGCAAGGCTTGTTCAGCTGCTGAATCCCATTCTGGTTGTTGCAGGACTGATACCCACTATACTGATTGTAGCAATTTTACTCCTACCTGTGTTCTCTCCGCTCCTCCCCTTCAAATACATCATTATCTTCATTAGAATTCATTGAAAAGTGGTGGCAATTTTTAAATTAGAATTTAAAAATTTTCCACTTCTTGTTGTGAACTAGAAAAGCAGTTATACACTAGACTGTAGCATGGGACCCATCTTTCATTATTTGTCAATAGAGTGTCTGTCATTTGAGATCTGATTCCACTTTGAGGTCTCTAGATTTTATCTCTGTACAGTTCCTGTAAGGAATATGAGAACAGACAATCATAGCAGCCTCACTGGCCTTAACATCACAGGAATCTAGGAAATATTTTTTTAAAACAGTTCCAATTTTCAGGAGAAGCCATTGAATTGCAAACTCCAAAGTTTATCAAAAAGATCCGAAATCTGTGGCTTACAAGATTATTGTTTCAGAAACAGTTCACCAACAGGTTAACAGTGACATTAAAATACTGTATAGGAAGGACACTATTCACCGGGGTTTGATCCAGCTCTCACAGAAATCAATGCATTTTCCTTACTTTCAGTGATGGGGACATCAGGCTCAGAAGACCCACCATCTCGCAGGCTGAGCCAAAACTAATGCCCAGAAGGGAGCAGCTGCCGATCACAGCAATGAAATTCCAGGGACCCACAAAGGCAGGAATTTATACTGCCACCCTTGCTCCAGGGATAAGTTTATACTGCTATCCTGTGCCAGTTACAGCTTTGCATCCCCTTGATTGACATGTTTTTTCCATATTCCTTTGTTGTGCACTGACATATTCCTGGTGGCTGATAATGACCATCATTGGGTTTTTGGAGATACTTTCAATCGATAAGATTTGATAGTGGGAAAAGGAACGCAGACATGAATCTGCTCTCCCTTCCTCTCAGCAGGCAGCAGAGGGAGCTGCAAGAGCGAAAATACTAGTCCCTTTCTTCATCCTTCTGCAGACCTTTCCTAAGCATCAAAAGTCTTTCCCAAAATCCAGACCGTCTTGCAAGATGCCAGTTACTCAGCCTGGTTACTTTTGTGCAACACACGACTCCCTGATACTCGTTTTTGAATTGTTGTTTTCAGTATTTAAATGACAATTTAAATTTAAATTGCCACTAATTTATATAGAACTCCCATGCACTAAACCCTTGAGAGACAAGTGTGAAGAGAAGGCCCATGTCATCTAAGTGGATAATGTAAAAAAAAGTGCAACACTGATTGGTATTTTGCAAAACTTTTGCAGATGGATTTCATTTTTACAGTGCCTTTTCTCATTAGAAGTCCAGACCTTTTGTATCCCACAGCTTGACAAAATTTGTTTAACAAATGATGAAAGATAAAAACTTATCAACCTGCTTGTAGACCTAATTTCAGCTGCCATCCTCACAGGCTATGATTTATGCTTGGTTGAAGAAAATAGGAGTTTTAGTCAATTTCTCTTGTTACCTGTCTTCACACAGTGTATTTCTTGCTCAGTGGCAAGAAGCAATTTCCAAATAAGCCCAAACTAGTGCCAAGCCAATTGGTTTTCATCAGAGGAGCACTGACATGATTCAAAACCAGAAGTGACCCAGTCCTTAATCTTGGTCATTTCCCAAACTTTTCATTAAACACAAGAGAAAAGCTTTCTGAGCTGTGAATGCTGCTGATACTCAGCTCAGCAAATGCACGAACAACAGTTCAGAGATGCCAAATGCAATGAGTATCTCTGGCTTACATGCTTTTTCTTCTCTGCAGTGTGGCAGTTCAGTATGCAAAGCTCAGTAACAATTTAAAATTCTGTTTTTCTTCTGGCTAACCCTCCTCCCAAAGAAGCTTTATCTTTTTCCTGAATTTTAACTAAAAGTAAATTCTGTCACTATTCCACCTCCCTTCCAAAGCCCACACAGCTGGACATAAGGCAGTTATGCCCAGCTGGAAATTATATGCTCTACCCACTGAAGCTCACAGTGTTAATTAAGTGACATCAGTTCACACTTACAGAGGAACCAGTTTTGTGGGTTTTGAATAAGTCCTATATAGTCCATCTCATATGGACTCATATTAGCACAAGAATAATAAAAAACATATGCTACTGTGGTTCCAAGAGGGTATGGATAGAAAGAAGATTAAATAATATCTGACATTACCTTATTCCTGATTTTGATGCGCTGGTAAAGATATTCAGGGAACGGCTTGCGGGGGATGAAGCGGCCCATTCCCTTATTTACATGCAGATTTCCATCTTCAAACACAATCTTCCCTTGGCTTATGACCACGAGTGGGGCACCATGGCACTCCATTCCTTCAAAGATGTTGTACTCAATGGCCTGAGGATTAACCAACATATTCACTGCAAGTTCGGTACAAGACCTCTTTCAGTTAGTAACTTACAATCTGTATTTGTAGTCATAGTTTTAGACAGCTGCCATTAAGAGTTGTATAAAATTGTTTTGTCTGAAGGAATATGAAATGATTTTAAAGAATCTCTCTGATCAGACTTTCCTGGATCAGACTTTTCCTTTCCTTTCCTTTTCTCACTTTCCATCAAGGCTTTATCTCATTTGTTTTTGAGGACTTTCCGTATTTATCCAAAGCCTCTAGAAGTACGATAGACTTAATAAGAAAGAAAACTGTGACTCAGCTGCGGGATACACAGAGGACACGGTGCCACCATGCATCTGCTGTACCTGTGTAAGGGAATTTCAAAGGGACAGCACACATATTTTCACCTGAAAAAGCCCAGAAAGGACCAGGAAAGCCTGAATCTAAAGGGTTTTCCCTTTGCCCTTTTCCCATCTAAATGTCAAAGGGCAGGTGATTATTACTTTCTTGAAAATACAGAGAAATCCCAAGACAGAGAAATAGAAATCGAATCACCTAAACTTACTTTTTAAAGGGTTCTAAAGGATTTTGCCTTTTTAATATAAACCACATTACTGGATTTCCCATAAAACTTTTGGAAGAATTCCCTAATATAAAAGACCAAAGCACTGAACAATAAGATAACAACTTTGAGACAGACAACACATAAAATAAAACCTCTCACAATCAAAATCAAAACAACTGTGAGTCACCGGTACTCTGCACTAAGGCAAAGCTTTGAAATGAAATAGAAAATCCAAGCCATGAAGCTGATCAGAGTTGTGTTATCAAAATATTTAATCATCACTCATAGTTTAGAATAATGTTGATTTAATCATGCAATTTATAATATCAGGTGCTTTTCAGGTAAGCAAAAAAAAGTGAACCCATTTTAAGTTTATCATCACAGCTTTACTAACCTCAACTGCAGAGCTGCTGATTCACACCTATTTACAGATCTGCCATAAGCATGCAAAAAATAGTGCAATGGTATATGCAGAGAGAAAATAAATCCTTCCTGATCCCAGTGCTTCCAATGTGAAATTTCAGTATTTTCATCTTCTGAAACATTTACCCATTTCAGAATAAGAGTAGGCAGTTACCCCACTCCTCTGTATCCTGTGCATTTGGTGTTCACATGAATTAGATCAACAGTTGAAAAGCAACAGTGATATTTCATTTTTTCTGCTGATTTTCCTTTCTTCTTACCGATTTATGGCTTTTAGCTGTTATAGTCTTCACCTTGTCAGGGTCCCAAATAACAACATCAGCATCCGATCCTACAGCAATCCGGCCTTTTCTTGGATACAGATTAAAGATTTTGGCAGCATTGGTGCTGGTGACAGCTACAAACTGGCTCTCATCCATCTTGCCTGTGGCCTAAAAACATGATTTGAGCAAAACACACTTATAAAATGGGCATTTACTATTCAGATCAGTGAACAGCTGGGGAGATAGTGGAAAGCATGTAGTTCATATATATGGTGATGTTGCATGAAACAAAGATTTTACCAAGCAGGACTTTATAAAAGGCACATTATTTGGGAGTTTCAAACTAATGAATATGTTACTCCTGGCATCCCGAAGAACAGCAAATAAAAACTTAATGTAGATGATACCATCAGGTTGCTCAGTTTTCTAAGGTCCCTTCCTTTACACACTGATGCCTAAGGGTGTTTTGTTGCTAGTCCTAGTAATTTCCATTTAAATGTTTTAACGATTTTAAAACAGAGAAACTTATGTAAGTGTGTGTGCATGGGTGTGTATGTGAAGATGGACAATGGAGGAAGATTATCCTTATATAATAGGATCCATGGAGCCATCAAAAAATTGCTAACTTATACCGGCACCCCACCGCAAAATATGCCAGTATGAATTACATGCAATGTTCTCCTTCAAAGCATTTTACCATCTAGCCTCAGGCTCAGCTGCCATCCATTTGTAATTTCTCAAAAATGATGAGACACTTCCCAAATTCAAATAATCCATTCATCATATTTATATGGGGTCCACTTCAAAATCATTAAACTGCTCCAGATCCTACATCTCTGAGAAGCATCCACTCTGACACAACTTGAAAACTGAGTGGTGGAGTCTGTGAAATCTCAGGTCTAATAAAACATGATAGTGTTGCAGTGTTGAAAGTGAAACACAGCCCTGAGTTTATAAAACTGGAGAAGGTTTTTGAAATAAACAATTCACCTCATAGTAACACTCTCTCAGGGAATTCTCAGAAATATGTTAGAAAGTCATTTAAGTACTGGCTAGAAGTCTCCTGGCTTTCATTATTCGGCCAACACTCAATTTCTTTTTAGTCCATAACAGTAAGTAATTACTTACTACAGCCTTGTCCCACACAACAGTCATTCTCTCCTCAATTCCATTGACCCCTTCAGGAATCATAGTGAAGTTGTCCTTTCCAATGGCTTTCTGGGCAGTGCTATATGGGCAATGTCCACTTCCCGTCACCTGCAGGTCCCCACTGTGGAGTTAACACACAGAAGGTTTAGATCAGGCACCACCAAGGTTACCTTGGTCTCAGACTAGCTGTGAAAGGACCTTTCAAGCCAGAGGCATAGGCTGTAAATCATGTCAGCAGCCTTTACATGTTGGCTACAGATCACTGAAGACCGACAATGGCATTGGACATCTCCACTTTCCCCCAGAAGCACCCTGAACTCCCAGATTACAGCCCCCTCGGGTTTCAGGCTGCTTATCGACAGAGATCAGGCACAAGCCCACTAACCAGGACAAAGGATTACTCTAGGATTAAGGAAATGATCGGAAGCTTGTATGAAATGTCTGACACTCTCAATATAAATTAATTCACAACCGTGTTGAAAAATAATGGTAAATTTTACAATGCAAGGTCATGAGCACCAATCTTGTTTCCCTGCATTCCTCCCCTGCACGTATAATTTTCTTGCAATTCTTAAACAAATATTTGTCTGACCTTTCAAAACAGAACCATGAAAATAAAACAGGAAGGAGAGATTTTTATCAGGTAGTCTTCTAATTAAACAAAGAAAGGCATAGTGCAAGTCAAACACATGCTCTGGATTTCTCTTACACAGAAAAAGGCATGGAGTAGAACACAAAAAGGGCTACCAAATAACAGTGCTTTTATTTAAGAAGTCATTTTTTCCAGCCTAGAGAAAATTTTTTTGCAGAGAACAGAAGTGGATCACAGCTGCTCTCCAGAATAAGGAGGAAGAACATAATCAATATGCACAATCTTGGAAAAACAGACAAAAAAGAAGATAGGTTCTTTGATACCCACAGGAAACAGGTGATATTTTCAGGTCTTAATTACGCTTACAGGACTCAAGCACATTAAAACATACTATAATTTCTCTTCCATCACTCCAGAAGGGTGATGTTCCCAAGAGCCTGTCATCCTTTCCTTTAACTGAGGTAGTTCTACCTCTGAAACATCTGAATGATTCTGGCCCACAAAATTAGATTCCAGCAAGCTAGCAAATAGCCAAGTACAGAGGAAAAAAGAGTCACACATCAGTAATTCTAAAGCAATTTTCTGGGCTGCCAGCCCTAATGATTGCTGACAGACAGGGAAGGACCTTTGGCCTCTTTTCTGGTTCTTCACCATGCTCACACCCATCCATCCAGTTTTTAGCAGAAGCCAAACCCATGTATTTAACAGTGAAAAGTCAGCTAGCTATGTTTTAGCTATTCCTGATTATTAATGACTGCCTGCAATTACTCCACGGGATTAAACCAAATCCATCAGTTAAACATTCATTTATTCTAACACAACAATTAAGTCAGAAGATTGCAATGCCATTTCTTCGTTTTTGTGCCCTTCTGTCAGCTAAGTTTCTTGCGGCTTAGCCCCTCTCTCTTTTCCGCACTCTGATGAATACAACCATGAAAATATGAATGTCACAGCCAGGCCCTGTATCACTGCCCATTTCCCTGAGGTTACGTTGCGCTTCTTACACCATGCTATTAATGCCTACACCTGGAAGATAAAAAGGATTTGCTGCCTCTGAACTCCGTTTTCCCTCTCCTCTGACATTTAATGACATTTAATGACATGCACTGCACTCCCCAGTTTAACCAACAGAAGCATGTTGCTTGAGAGCTGCCCAACACCTCCTGGTTAACCACACAGGCACCCCTAGTGTCTAGATATACTCTACTGTCAAACGGGGAAGAGCATCAGATCAACTAAAAAACTGAGAGACAAGAAGGGATCACCATGGAAAACATGTCCAAAAGAGAGAGCGGTGGGAATTAATAATGGGTATTTGTGTATCTTTAAATGCCATATCAATACTTTGTCACCTTATTCTTCACCGTAAACAAGGCTTTCATGGCAGGTTACATCTTCCACAAAGCATCAAGATCTCACACCTCTAGCTCAGAAGAGATGGCATATCACAGTGGCAATAATGCAGCAGTACACCATGGAAGATGAAAGCTACCCCAGGTGCGCAGCCCACAGATGAAACAAGGACCAAATCTCACGAGGCAAAACCAATCTGCAAACCCCATGAGTGTGGCAGGTGCACCCACCCTGACTAGGAAAATGACTGGGGCTTGCTGAAGACCCGATAAACATCAGGTCTTTCAGGAGACCAGGCAAAGCCCTCACAGACAGGGGCTTTCCAGCCGTTGAACCCTGGTCACTGTTTACCTTGCCTTTTCCCACCAGTGCAAATTGACCATAGGTCAGGCTCAACTCAGCTACAAACGGGGCCCCGATGCAGAGCCAGATGGAGTCGGTCCTCCTCGGAGCAGCGGGGCTGCAGGTGGGGACTCTCCCTTTGGGTTGGGACACTGCCTGAGGGAACTCCCCAGGGTTGAGTGCCCTCACCCCCTACCTTTGCTGAGTGAATGCTGCTGGATATAGCCGTGAGTGAGTCCTTGCCCCATTTGGGTGAGCGACTAGCTTCTGGGTACCCTTGAGTGAGGGATTTTCCCCCTTTTTGTGAGTGAGTGTGTGCACATTTTGGATCATTTTTCTAAAAGGCTTGTTTAAAAACTGTAGGAATTCTTAAGTCAAGCTTTGTAGTAGTAGATTCCCAACTGACATCCGAACTTTACTTTGGTCTGTCAGAGTGTTCACAAACTTTGGTTGGAATAAATCCCCATTTTGAGTAGCTCCTCTGTCTGTTTGTGAGTGCCTCTGCCTGGCACCAGGGCATGCGGTTTGCTCAGGTCTGTAGGGGTGTTCTGAGTGACTGCTCCGTCTCGTGTGGGTGCGTCCGTGAGACATGATGGATTTTAGACATTCAGCTTTTCAGTGAAAAACTGGAAAACAGCACAACCAGTATGCTGCGTACTTGCAGAAGAAGAATGTTGTAAGGATTTTTTAATGAACGTAAAATATTCGTCTCCTAATGAACAGTGTAATACAAAAGTGAAATACTGTCCTTACAATCACCCTTGAATAAAATTCCCCACAAATGCATGGCAGACTGACAAAATATACACTTCTTTTTTTAGTTTCTCAGTATAGATTTAAAGTATTAAAACTAAAAGCAGGCTAAGCTGCTGTCATTTAAGATCTAGGACTTTAAGCCACTAGGAAAAAAAAGCCACTTTTGCACGCTTGGAGGATAATGAAAACTTCTGTGACTCCTCAGTTTGTCTTTCTGATGTTAGTGTTAAAAAAAGTCATTGTTTGGATTCCAGTTCTGAAAATTTTCTTGCTATTTCAGCTAATCTGTTTTGACCCACATACTATTATTTTGGGACTTTTCTAAAAAACATATAGCCATGTCTGACAGAGTAGAGCCAAACATTTTGATACACATTCACATGTGCTGGCTAAGAGCCTTGCTCTCACACAATGAGCTCCACGTTTTACAGTGCTGATAATGACGGATCATACCAGAAAGGTCATTTTTCTTCCTTGTTCTTATTTTAAGGAACAGAAAACTCAATTATGGAAAAGAATTTCTGCCATCAGACCGTCACAACAGAACAAATTCCTGCGTATTCTTACCAGAACCGCATGTAACTAGGAGGCCAACTGTGCATTCATTAGTAGTGCTGTCCATGCAGCATCACTCGGGCAGCTGAGTTAAGACCTGGGTTCGGTGGACAGCCTGACCCACCGTGTGCAAGGAAAGATGTGTGCATACTGCAGAAGTGGTATCAACTGATGGCAGCTTCCCATCACATCCAAAGGGCAGCTCTGCCCAAGCCTGAACTACACATGCAGGGGCCTTACATTACCAGCCACACTGGCACTGCCCGCCGTACAGCCTGCCACCTAGCCATGTGGAAAACTAACCTCAGGGGGAGATGTTTTCTGAAGACCAATGGGCCACTTTTAGGGTACAAAATCTACTGCTCTGCCTAGAGCACTGGCAACCCTACAAAGAGGAGGCAGCAGGTGAGATGAGTGGCACCACATGGTGTTAAAGAATGGTTTGAATGGTAAGTGGAGTTCCTCACTTCAGCACTAGCAATCTGCCTTGGTGGGACTTCAGCTGTGAATTTCCACATCATTTCAAAGCAGATGGTCTTTTGCTTACGCTAAAGAAGACCCACAGCTGGCTACAGGCAGGAAATAGTTTTAGGGATGGGTTTATGGTCTGGGTTTCTGGCAAGGCATTGCTGATGTCTTCTTTTCGATATAAGAAAGACATTTCTCCCTCTGCTGTGCACATTCCTCTCATCTCTAGTGATAACCCTCCCCTTGCCAACCTGAAGACAATCAGCTCATACCCCTAACCTGTCAAGTGATAGCCTCCAGTCACCAGCCTGTCTCCACCCAAGTCCCTGACAGTCTCCTCTGTAATCCACTCTGGCCTCTTCCTCCTGCCTGACATACCTTCTCTATATGTACCACTTATTTTTGCTGACTTCCAGCTTGAGGACCCTGGAACGTATAAAGACACAAGGCAAGCTAAAAGTGAAAACAAGGCTGCAAGAACTAAGCACAAGCAAACTTATATGATTTTGGTCCATCCCAGATGAAGGCAAACTACCAAGTCAGAAGTCTGCAATAGACAGGAGATAAAACCACTGAACTCTCCTACAAACACTTACAATTTAGTTTAGGGCAGCCTAATTCTCAAAAGTGCTCACAGCTTACAGCCCTGCACCAGCTTTGGCAAAATTTGCACCAGGAAAGTTTTCTCCATTCCAGGCATTTCTGCATTCAGAGACAACCCTGATTTCAGGAGCTGTGCTTGCCAGATATGAACAGGGCCTTAAAACTGAGTCTGTTCTCACAGATGGGGGTCCATCCACCAAGCTGTTGCTTACGCTGGACAGTGAGGATGCCATCCTACTACGTATTAACAATTTGGCTGGAGAAAACAGAACTAGGGAGAAAAACAATTTGAAGTCCTTGGCTAAAGACTATCTAGCTGTACAACTAATAATCACTTGAAAAGCAGAAAGAAAAACAATTCCTGAATGACCATCAGTTACCTTTCCAACATGCTAACCAAGAGCTGGAGAGTTCCGTGCCTGCTCACCTGACCGACAGGCTAAACACAGGGATATAACCATCCCTGGTTTTCTACAGCCCCTTCTCTGCTGTTTTGTGTATGAGACTGAGGAAACTGAGCTGATCCCTAGACGCTTCATCCCATGTGACTTTTGCACTTGCCTGACCATCAGCCTGTAAAAAAATGAAGGTCTTACCATGCTAAGAGCGAATTTAAGTGATCTGGAGTGGTAGGATCAGGGCTCAGAGGTGGCGAGGTCACAAATGCTGCAGCCTTGGCCCAGTTTTTGCTCCAGTAATGTGTCCCATCTGTCCCCAAGCTGGCAGTGATAGGCTCTCCAAAAACAAGGGGACCTTGGGGAAAGCAAGGATACACAGGAACAGATTACAATTCACTCTCTCTTCAGCATATTACACTGCTTACTGCACGCAGCCATGTATAATTTACACATTGCTACATGGCCTAGCATAGCTCCCAGAAAATTAAGCAGCCCTGGCTTTGTCTGAATGATAAAAAATTAATCAGGAGGCTCTCTGAGCTACACATGCTTTTGATCAGCGAATTTACAAAGCTCCCTTTCTAATCCAGAAGGAGACAGTTCAGATCTGGTTTTAATTTGTACTGTTTTAATCACAGCCATGTTCTCTACGTTGCTTTGCTTTGGAGTCCATTTACGTGGAAGATGGGCTCCAGCAGACAGATGCCTTTTTACTACTCCCAGGCTGGGCATAGCACCAGCAGATAGCAGCATATGGTCCCCAGTACTATACTCCAAGTCTCCAAGAATACAAATATCAAGACGATATTTTGCTCTTTGGCTTTTCCATATTGCTCACATGCTTTGTAGCACCAACAAGTAGAACAGTCCTGACTTGCAAATGCAGCTTTGAAAGCAGCTGCCTCCAGGCTCACAAGTCCCTTCTGGGTGCTTTGTAACCTGGATCCCTCCGCAGCCCCAGCAAGCAGTGTCAACCTACAGATGTCCCCAGTGCACATCTGGAGCGGTCAACCTCCAGTGGCAAGGCCAGGAGCAAGCACCAGGCATCTCTAGCAGCAGGTTCACTGCCCAAGCCACTCTTTGGAGGGTAATACCCTAAAATACCCCCAAAATGCACAGAGGATGTGCTAGATCCTGTTAGGAGTAAAATATCTCCCTCCCATGAACAGAGACACAGCAGTCTAAGGGAAAAGTAAAAGAAGACAGAAAAGAATAAAGAAGAGTTACAACACAATCTTCAAGCTGACAGTTTGTGCGGAGAGATTCTCAACTGAAAAATGTAGAAGGACTTCCCTTCATCTTTCCCAGCTGTAAATATTTAGGGTCTGTGATGGTGTTACCATTCTTTGGTAACCTCTGCCTATATCTTGTGATTTGGGTCAAGATGTACAGGTTTTTCCACTGAGCTTCTTCTCAACAACAACAAAAAAACCAACAAACAAACCAAAAAAAGTTTGGGGGAGAAAAGGAAGTCTTTTACCTTTCTTTCTAGCCAGTGCAATGATATCAGCTGCACTCTTGCTCATCACCTTGGTGATGTACACTGGGCAGTTTATTCGACTGGCAATGGTGATGGCACGGAAAACTGCTTCTGCTTCAAGCTGAGGAAAACAAGGAGGAAAAAATTAATTGCAAAAGCAGAGTGAAGAAGAAACAAACTGGAGGACTGAGCCATATTTCTCACTCTTTAGCAACAACTCTTCAGGTGTTCATTGTGCTTTTTCCATAGAGAGAGGCGCCGTGCAGGGAAACAGGGAGCTAACCCAACCTCAGGCACTTTGCTTTAGGAGTAACCACAGCCACGCCATACTTGTTAACACAGCTGCCCCGGCACAAACACAGCTCCCTGCACCCCAGAAAACATCACATCCAAGCAGCTGATGGGGCTCCTCCTTACCTCCCTCCCATCTTTCTGCTTCAGACTTCTACCCTGCAGTTGGAAGGAGAACAAAGCAAGGAAACATTGCCCCAGCTTGGAGACAACATCAGAGCTCTCCCTGGCAGCTTACCCTGTGCAATCTTTACATAAGGATAAGATGACAGTGAATGTAAAGTATTCTCAAACAGCAACTTCAGCACTATAGACCGAATTTAGCCCATAATCCATACAAGCCTTTGAAGCATCGCCCAGGAAGTCCCCTCTGTCAGCAAGCGTAAAGGCAATCTCCTCCCAGAGAGCCATCTGGGACGCAGGCACACAAAGCAGCCATCTTCAGACAGAGAAGCCATGTTTCCCAGCATCTCTGGAGACTCCTTTCCCCAGTCATCAGTTTTATACCTCCCTCCCCGATGGACTCACACTATTGGCATTTTAACACCTAAAACTCTGTTGTGACTGAAAATACTGACTTGACAGTAGAGAAACTTTCTCCTGGAGTTGTGCTAGTAAAGTTGAGCAACTTAGCCCTTCCAAAACCACGTGGCTTATCTCTTCACAGTTTTGCAAAATAATTTTTCTTAAATCAGACTGTCGCTTTGGGTTGTCCTAGCACTTTTATCAAAACACTTGCTCTGGAAGCCCCAAACGCACCCACAGAAGACCAGGGTAGGAGGCAGGTCCTCTGTACCTCAGCACTGGGGCTGAAGTGGTCAGAAAGATGCAAAATTCCTTTCTGGAAACTGCAAATACAGATTGTCCTTAGGCCCTTGTTCTCATTAAAAGGAAACAACCCCATTCTTTTAGAATAATTTAGGTGGAAGCTAAACAGCAAAATGAAAAAGCACATAAACAGTTCAACAGAAGAAGAATGCGACCAATTAAGCTGGTTCCTTTTGCCTTGAGGAGAGGTTATATAAAGATCTGCAAACCACAACAATCTCTTCACGTTTAGCCTCAAATCCCCAGGACCTTGTCTCTTTAGTCTTCAATGAAAGCAGTCACTCCCCACTACCGCCATCCATCATTCCATTAATGGTCTGAACTGTGTACATTAAGGGACATCCACATGTCTCCACCTTTTCCTTCTCATTAAAGAAACCCTTTCCAGATGCCTGAGATGATCCATGCCAGAGACTGGTTTTTATTATAAGAAAGTTGCATAAAATGAACTGCCTCTCAGCATCTTTCCATTCTCACATATTTGCATTTCTATAGCCTGCATTTCTACTACGAATGTATCTGCTGGCATAAATGTAGATTTATATGTGGGCGTACGCATACGCATGGCATGTATGTAGACATGCATCTCATAGGAGGTTTTCAGCTGAAGCATTTTAATGAATGCAGTTACTCCAAAGCCTAACCCACAAGCTGCAGTGCTGATTTTTACCCTGATAAGCCTATTTTTTTTCTTATCACAAATCAAATCACAAGGGTCACACTCAAAAAATACATGCACATCGAAGTCCAGGGCAGCAGGAGCTGTGACTCCTGAGCATACAAGGACACTCTCATCCCCAGACCGAGGGAACGCACCTGCTGCAGCAGCAAAAGGCAAACAAACAGGCTGATGGGGACCTGGACTTTTCAAGGCTTTGAATAATACTGGAAGAAGCTGCAGGAGAAGCAGACTATTGCCCTTCCCCATGCATCCATCTATCATCTGCACATACAGAAGCCAAGCTCCGATGCGACGTGTTCAACAAAATATTTCCAGGAACGGCAAAATGAGTGAAGTCTCTTACCTCCTCGGGCCTGCTCAGAGCATGTCCCTCGGGTCCAGTGATTCCCATCTCCAGGATACGCTTTTGTTCCTGCAACATAAGAGATAAATGCTGACAACCGCTCCAGGATGAGACCCTTGCACCAGGCACCCTCCGGCGGATTAACAGCCATATTGTCTGAGTGTCCCTTTTTTGTCTGTGTAAATGCAGCTGTGAGCCTGCTGCCGGGGGAGGAGGACTGAAAATACTGGCTCTAAACTGGTCCCATGCGACCCCGGTGTCTGCGCTGCTCAGCCAGCACGGCTTTCAGGGAAAGACTTCTCTGCAGTGTAACAGAGTGTACTCGGGCCTCAAGCCATTGGGCTGCACCATCAGAAATCTCCTCCGCCCTCCAGAAAGTCTTGTTTAACACTAAGACACCAAGCCAGGGAACAGGCTTCAATATTATTTCCAGCCTGTGATTCTTTCTTTACTTGCACAAATTCCTCTCTGGCTGCAGCCCACGAAGCACTGTACCTTCTTTAAACTTTTAGCATTGCTGACATCAAATAAAGTCTTGCCTTTGACATCCAGTTTTCTGTAACACCTTTTTCCTACAGAGTGAATCACTAAAATTATATTTTCACAGAAGGAAAACAGTGCCCTCTAGTAGTGAGAGCACTGTGTCCACACCAAAAAGCCCAACTTAGGACCAGTGGTGGTTTGTCAGAAAAAAATCTGTGCTATCCAGCTTCACAGCAGTGAGATAAATTTTTTAAAATAGACAAAAAGCTTCACCTATCTTTTAATTTAAGGCCAAGTAGTGGTATTGGAATAAATTTCTCTTTTTGCAGAAAATGGTAGTCAACCACTTCTAATCTGAGGCTGGTCCAGGTCTGCCAGCAGAGCAGAAGTGGGACCAGAGCTGTTGATGTACCCTGACCCTGGCCTGCCCTGCCCACAGGTCTCTAATGAGCCGATTTCAACAAATGTAATGACTCTGTGATACAGACAAATATCCCCTAGAGACCAGAATGAAGTTACCGAACATACTTTACAGTGTCATCTAACAAATATTTGATCCCAGGTCCCAGAGGGTGAAAAGCTCACACATTATCAACATACTCTGGCAAAACTTGAGCAAGTTAATATTCACATATACTTTTGCCTTCATTGAAATCAATCAAGGCTGAAGAGGCGTTAATAGGAATGTATTAATCTGACTGTGTAATTGAGAATATTTTGGTTAGCAAATCATGTTTCACATGTATTCTTAAAAATAGCTGTTCTAAATCATTAATGCAACAGCTGTGAACAGTGCCAGTTAAAGACTTCAGATAATTAAAATACAACAAAAAATAAAGTTACAACCATACAAAAAAAAAAAAAAAAAAAAGATGGCAAAGACTGGCTACACAAAGTAGGATAGATTTGCACCTTGAAAGAAGTCATAAAATCAGATCATATGATAAAATTACCCACTCTAAGAGGATTTGATAGTGGTAATAAGCTAGAATATTTGTTTGATAAGATCAAATTTCTATTTTCACACAGGATAGTCCTGAAAAACCTCCCTGCAGGCAGCCTTCTTTTCACTATCCAAATAATCCTTCTAAATAAAAGCATAAGGAAAGACTGAATTTATGAGCCATGGCAATGGTGAAGAAATATCTTGATGTATAACATAATTCACATTTTTCACTACTTCCTCTTTTCCCAATAATTTCTCTGTCCCTTATGTTCATATGCCATGGCTGTATATTAAAGCTGATCAAAAAAAAATGTAACTGAAACAGATTTCTATCAGAAATGCAGTTCCACGAGTGCGTCTTGATTTTAATGAGGAACGTATCAAAACATCATGGGTGCCATTTGATTTGTTTCATTTTGCCTACAGTAATATTGACTTGCTATGTTTCTTACTATTCATTTTCAGTCTACTGGATATATTTTATACGGTATTAATTCTATAAATTATATATTTTGGTAGCTTTAAATCATGCCAAACTTCATGGGAAATCAGCGGTTTTTTCCTTCTTGAACCCAAATGAGGGTTTTCACCTGGTTTCAGCAGGGGAAGGACACAACTGCACTGTATGTGCCTGTTGACTCCTCACTATTAACTTTGAGCCCAGTGGTTACTTCAGCCAAACTCGAAGCGGAAAGGGAAAGAAGGCTCTCAAAGCAAGTAAATTCTTACCAGGTAGATAAAGGACAGAATCCCACAGAGGGAAAAAGAACAAAATAAAACCCATGTGGGCAACAGCCCTTACACACCGCCCAACCACTTGAACATTCACCTGAGGTTCTACCTTAACCATGAGACAAGGTGGCTTCCCTAGTCCAGATCTCAAAGACAACTTGTTTTTAGCTATTGTAATTTCCCTGTCAGTTCTGCAGCCCAGTCCTTAGCAGATAAGCCAGCAGATAAAGAGCTCAGCAGATAAATCAGTCGGCTCACTCGGAGCCTCATGGACCTCAGAGAGGCTCGATGCACATACAAGGGATCAGAGGAGGGAGATGTCTCTGCAACAGCCTTAAAAGATTAATCTGCCACAGATGTATAGAGTCACAACAACACCCACCCAAACCCGCCCATTCTGTTTTATAGGGGAATCCTGGCCTCTGAAAGACCAGTGGGAGGTTTACTATTGACTGCTGTCCTTGGGATACCTCTTCCAATGTGCTGTGGCACAGAACAGAGCTACAGCACACTCCAGTGTGAGGACACTACCTACGCCGGGGACCTGACCTGCAAAGACAGCACTGGGGATCTGGGACCTTTTAATGGAACATTTTGAATTTGAGCCCAGTTTCCTGGTTCTGAGAGGCAACTTCAAAGAGCATGACTTACACTTTAATGTGCATTTTTTAGGCATTTAGAAGATCACAGTGGTTTCTTATTCTCAAACTTCAGAGATTTGTAAGAATATTCTCAAAAATAAATCAGTCTGAGAGCTTTATCACCCACTCCAAACTCACTATGCTGCTTATGCTGATAGCTGCAGCAAGAGTCATTAACAAAAAGCTTCCCAGTTCCACTTTTTGTCCCCAAAATCTCTGAGCAAGGCTTTATGCTGTTCTGCTTCACTTGTCTCTGCCAGATTCAGAAGAGATCTTCTCGCTCCCTTCTGCCCCCCTCATCCAGTCCTCATCTGCTGCCAAGGCAAGGAGCTGTCTGGATTGTTGCTCTACCTCACAGATGCTCTGCCAAATCATGCACGCAAAAGGGCCTCCATCCTCTCATCCCAGGCTTTACACCAGCGGTGTGTAGGGCATCAGGCTAAATTAAGGCACTTAGCAGGTAGCTCCTTTTTTCCTACCCATACTCTGACTGGAGGGTTTTACTTCTCCTCTCTGGTGTCTGTCTTCTCACACAGTAAAGCAAAAATGACAGTTAACTCACCTGAGCTATCAAGTCTCCATTTTCAGCATGGACCAGGATAACAGCACCAAGACTTTTTAGAAAGGTAAAGGCTTCATAAAGCTGCAGGTAGTACAAAGAAGGAAACACTGCTGAATAAGGAAAACACATTACTTAACACTCAGACTTCTCCGTTCACCTCAGTTTTGCACCTTCTATGCTGGTAATTATCTAGCTGAATAACAAATTATCTCCCTTTTCCAATTTCTACACAATGAGCTTCACTGCTTGGTGTTGACTCACGCACCCCCTTACACACCAGCCAGCCCCAGGACAAACTTCTGCCCTTTTGCACCCAGACAGAGTCAAAAGTCCTGAGCAGGGTTGCATCTCCCTCGGACATAGTGCCTCCCCCACCCCTTGTACTGCAGAGCTACCTCTTCATGTCCTTCCACCCAAGCCTAAGTTTAGTGAGTAGTCTCTTTTCCATAGTTTAGCAAATGTAAAATGGAATTACTCCCATGGACTACAGACACTTTTTGTACAGCTAAACACCTCTTTTCTGAAGTGCAGGCATTTTGCACCATCTTCTTAGAGCAGATAGTGTGAAGCTTTCACCAACATCTTTAACTCTGCAATTAAAAGCTGCAGCATTTTCTCTAGACCATCCTTTTTTTAAATTGCTTTCTAAAATTCAAATCCTATCCAAACAGAAGGGAAATGGTTTATCCTGTTGCTTTTACTGACAATTTCTGAACACATATCTACTGAAATTCAGTTCTCTTTCCAAAAGGTATTCAGCTAATGTGTTCCCTGTTTAAACCAGACTTCAGTAATGTGGGAGCCCAGTCTTCAAACACAGAGCAAATACTGAAGACATGGTTTCTTCAGTGTCCACTTCTGCATTGGGACACTTCAGCAAGCATTGAATGGGCTGGAATAAACAGCTTGCAATATGCACATTTAAACAAGGTAACAGCCATTAGTCTAGCCACACATTAAACATTTTGATGTATTTCTCTTGGCAATTCCAACAGGGAGTTCAATTTAACAGGCACTGCCTCTCAGAGAATATTTATATATTATTATGCCTAAAATTCCAATTAAAACCACATGTATTGGAGGTGTAACAACAGTTATTTAAGAAATCGAGAGCTATAGCTCTGGGAATAAGTAAGAAAGAAACATTTTCTCAACTGAATAAGCAAACATTATTATTACTAACAGATGCCATTGTCCATTTACAATGACCTGATACTTATGAGTGGGAAAGCTGAAGAGTCTGGAATCTGTAATGAGCTCTGGACAAACAAGCTCATTGTTATCTCCAGCCCTAATGAGAAAAGGCCACCTCCCCCAAAGAGCAACTCCATTTAGCTGTTCGCAGCAACTGAGAAACTCTTGAAACCTTCAAACTGCCACTGCCTCAAGTGCTTCATCTTTTCTTCCCTCTCTGACCTACAGTTCTTGAAAGGTAACAGCAAAATAAAGTGAGGGCAAAATCCTGAGCAGTGCTGAATGGTTGCAATGTTGCAAACACCAGAAAATCTTTGCAGAAAGTGAATGTCATACACTTGAAGGAACACATGCAGATGTTCAGCACTGCCCAGCACTGACCCTCAAGAGAGAACTCCCCCACTGCACATTTCCTCCAGTGCCACTCAGGTCAGTGGGAACGCTTCTCTGGGATTCAACCTTAGCAACCCCTCAAGTGTTGGGAGATCACAGAAGAGAGGACAGACCACAGCAATGAAAAGCATTCAGAGCACTACCTGGCTGTCGGACATCTGGTAGAGATCTTTGTAGGCCATGTAGACTTGAAAAGAGTTCACACCTGTTCCAAGACAAAATTCAAAGGTGTTGCCATGTAAATGGATTCTTAAATTGTATTCAAACAAAAACTTCAGGAAAACTAAGTCATAGAATATGTCTGGACTAGACTTTTCACTGGTGACTGCCAGAAATAAAGCATGGCTCCACAGCTGCATTACAGCTGCTAGGACTAGAAGCCTGAATGCCCTCTTCTCTGGGGGAACTTCTGGACTCTGTGGATTGCCTGTGAAAAAGGAAGCAACCCAGCCACCACCGCAAACATGACTGCTTATAGCCAAATGACAGGCAAGCGATGGTGGCTAAAGCAAGCATGTAAAGTTCATGAAGTTTAAAAAAACTTGTTTAAGGTTCTGTGAATCACTGGTTTTCTTTTCAGCTTTCTTTAGCTAATCAGGAAAAATTTCAGCTTGATCTGAAACCGTGCTTTTTAACAGACAAACTTTCCCAAAAGTGCCGAGAAGCTGTAGGAACTGTGTATCTGAATTCGCATACAGACTTGCTTTTTCTTAACACTATTGCCCAAAGCATCCAGCTTAGCTGATGGCAGACACTGGGAAGGAGTGGAAGCAAAGCCTGAAACCAGTTACAAGGGCAGCTCACCGTATCTATCCTTCCACCTTCCAAAGACGGATTTATGTTGGCAGTCATACAAAACCATTAAAGATGGCAGCTCCAAAGTTTAGAAATCAGTAAGAAATGACAGTGTTGAGTGTTGGTTGCCAAGAACCAACCGTGTTCAAACACCTACAAGTTTTGCTACTTATTCTAAAGAATTATTTACACAGCTTTGTATTCTAATGGAACAGGAATTCCAAACATCTTCTGTTCATATTTGCTGTACACATGAACTCATATTAGTTTATAAATATGCCTCACTCTTTAGTCTACTGACAACATCCCCAGTTTGGTACAGGGACTGATCTCAGAGTTTTCTAGCTTAGAAGAAAAGTAAATTCTAAGCTGTCTAAGCCACATATGCTGCATTTCAAAATAGTTGTCACGAAAACTGTGCTTCCTGGGGCAAGAGGAAAAAGAAAGAGATCTGTTCATGTTATTCGTGCTGGCTACACCGAATGAATAAGGCTCTCTGACGAAGGTATAACCCCTTCATGAGACTAAAAGGCGCAGAGGTATCCTCAGGCAGAGGATATCTGTGTGGCTGTTCAGACTCACACAGAGAATTTGTTTATTCACAATTACAAGGCTAAAATGCCCCAGGATATATGCAGGATAAAACCTTGAAATGATCCCTGGTATTATGTCTTCCTGCTAAGTCCAGGCAGCTGAAGGAGAAATACAAAGTGGGAGCTGGCCCCTCCTTGCTGACTTCCACACTGAGCAAATCCAGCCTGGACTGTGGAGCCCCATCAGCCCGCAAGCCCACCCTTTCTTCCTATTTTCCCATTTCTCAATTTCCCAGAAAACATGAATGGGTTTCACTAACTGTAATCCCTCAGCCTACTCCTCATTACGCAGTTTCAGCGTACATAGTATGTCCCTGCTTGAAAATATTAAGCTTGACTACACCTTCCCTGGGGGCAGTGCTTACAGTCTCCTGCCTGTAGCACCATCTCCCCTCTGACTGATCACATCTGCCCGACCTGCCTTGGAGGAAAGCTCTCTTATCCTTCACAAATGCACACAGGGTCTCATTTGTCAGCTGCACCTGGGAGCCACCTTTCTGCATGGGTGACCATGCACACATGAAGCAATGAGAGATGTGTCAAGGCTGATCCAAGCCATGCCAGCTAGCCTCAGTGATGGTGAGTGACTGAATCCTCTCATACACATTTCTCCGTAAGCAAAGCACTGGGCTACCTATTGCTCTCCCTTATCCACTGGGATCTAGCCAAAGGTAATTCATTTACTCACAAACCTGCAGGAGACAAGGCAGCTTTCTCTATGTGGCTGGAAGACATACCTTGACCCAAGTAATAAAAATTCTCTTCCTTTTTCTTTTATTGCCGTTGTATCTTCTTAGGCCCTTTTCTGACTTTGGTACAATAACTACGAGTTTTGCCCCCACTCAGGTTAATGTTCTCCCTGAAGTCAATGAGAATAGAAGGGATCCCATCAGGGATCCCACTGTGAGATCTTGAGCCTGTCCCTTACCAACAGCTCCCACAGCACAGAATCAGAGCTCTCCCATCCAAATGCAAATCCACGCCCTCAGCTACCACATCAGATACACACAAAGTGGAAGGGCATCTCACAGGCTGCCTTTACAGCTAACAGGAGAGATGGTTTGAACTATACTGCCTTGCAAAGAGAGTACCTTTACAAGACACCAAGATAAAATAACGCCAATTTACATATACAGGTATCCAAGATTAGACTCTTTGCCTAATGCCTTGGTCTGGTGTCTTGATCTATTCATTGGAAACCTGTGGCTTTTCAAAAGCCCTGGTCCATGGCCTGCTGACCTTAATGCTTAGCATTTGTTATATACTACATCTTTGTTATGTCCTGCTTGCTCTCACACCAGGAGTACTCAACAGGATCCTCTCCAAATTTCAGACAGTGCTACAGGTTTTTTCAAGCAGTGACAAAGCGCAGTAGTTAAAAGAATGAGTGAGGCCTCTGTCAACACATTTCAAGCTCTTGTTCCTTTGCACACACTGGAGAAGCCCAGTCCCAAATTAGTTGCCAAAATGCTACAAGCCTAAGTCTTTATAACAAACATTTGGTTCTACAAAATCTCCAGGACCTTTCAAAGCCTGTGCCTCCTTAAATTAGCTTTGTATTGATTTAAAACTAGTCAATTACTCAATTATACCTCATGACAAGGCACCTCAACAGCAGCTCTGTGAGCTCCTCTGTTATTCATGCCAAAATTGTATTAGGCACACACAGCACTGAAACACGATTAGCTTAGCCCTGTTGCTTGGCTAACTCACCCACCAGACAATCAGCTGAGAAGAAATTCAATCCAGATTCCCAGTTGATGAAAACCAGTGTCACTCCATTGACATCCAGTCTATTTGCACCAGGGGCTCAAATGTTTTCAATTATCAGCAGATATCCATTAATTTGAAAGCCCGTGCCATGCTGAAATATTTCCTATTGTGCTTGTGCTTCCACACTCACCCTTACCTTGTGTCAGGACTAACACAGAGTAATTCACATTGACTGCCTGAGACATAGTGCAGCATCTGTGAGAACAAAGGTGACCTCCTAATGCTATCGCCACCAAAGAGGCCACCAAGGGTCCCATCACACATCCCGGTTCAGGAACCAATGAAGAATGAAAGGCAGGTCAGATTTATATTGAAAACTCACATTTCAATAGTTGGAGAAAACTATTAACCTAACTGTCTGCACCGGGCTTTTAATGTAAGCCCTCAGGCAAATCTGGGAGCGCTGAGCCATCTGTGATCTGCGAGCTCTGGAAAATAGTATCTAACCTTTGAAACAAGGCACAGTATACTTGTCTGAGAGTACAGCCAGCTCATGCACAGCAGCATATCCATGTTAACGCTGATAGCGGGGAAACAGCACAGATTTGGCACCATCAGTGTTGACAGATGTCATCACCTTGTAAAAATCACCTATATTATAACAACCTATGTAAGACCAGCTGCAGTTTCTCTAAATTATGTGTAATCTTGCTGACTGAAGGGTTCTGTTGCCTAAAATCTCGTTACACAGCACATGTACTGCTAGCATGCTGTAATACAGGGTAAAATACCCTATGTGACTGCACCTCCATGGTATCCCAGTAAGCAATTGCTCACTCAAAAATAGGATTTTGCTTTGTTTTTCTACTTTAATAGTACATTTCTATATAAAGAGAATTTTTCAAATCTAAGTCATCACTAGCACTACACCTTACAAAGGATGCTACACATATTACTTAGCCTTCTCAACACAAGGGTTACCCTGATTTACTCATGGTAACTAAATATCATTTCAGAAAACATTTTCTAATAAATATCCATGCATTTTCAAGGAAAGTATAAAGAGAAAAATATTTTTTAAAAAATGTTTCTGGACAAAAAAAATCCATGCTATTAGGCACAATTTTAAGGAACTAGATCAAAACTATTATCTTCTGAAGGCTAGATTCATTGCCCACACATACATACCTGGTGTCACCAAGATACCCTCCATATTTGAAACTGCCACACTGAGCTGGCATGTATGGAAAAGGATTTATGAGAGGTTTTATCTGCGCTATTCCAGAGTGGCAGGTGGAGTCCAGATAGGGTAATCTACAGCATCTCACATGATAGTAGACTTGTTAATTGAACTGAATCAAGCCCATAAGTGTCTTAAATAGATTCCTAAATAAGTGACCTGTTTTTTTAAGTCCCAAAACAAAGCGTCTTCTTGTAACTTCAGGGAAAGCCACTGGAGACCAAGCACTTGAGAAAATCAGGACATTTTTTTTCGTATTAGGTACCTAAGTTTAGCATTGCTTTTTTCTACTAACTTGAACCTATTTTAAAAATATAGGCATGTTTTATAAAAAAATCTAGTCTCACAAGTAAATTATCCTAAGCCATTGCTGTGAAATGAGCAATAGCCTGTGGTGACCGTTCCTGAGACACACATGTCTTCATATTTGGGCTTAATTTGAGGCAGCTAAATGGGCAGATTCCAGTCCAGTTAAAATCTGAACTGCTAACTTTAAATGTCCCATTCTTTCCATTCATGAAAGAGTATCTAAGGTGACTGGGCTGATTCCCCTAAATGCTGATCTCTGAGTTTTATCTTAGAATAAAACCTAAGTATGCAATGTCTGAGCCTATTTCCACATGTACAAGCAACCATAAAGTGATGCATTTGTATCCAACAATGCACGTCTTAATTTTCCTTGTCTACATCGGGGTAAACCTTCTCCCTCCATTGGCCTTGCTGCTGACCAGCACTAATGCACAAAGTTTTAGGTCCATTTTACACAGCAGCAATTGCACACAAAAGTTCAAGGTAGTGCAGAACCTTGGGCAGAACAACCAGCACTGTGCATTTCCGTTCTGGATGATGCATTCATTACAATACTTAAAAATTTCACCTCCATATGATGTTTCAATAAAACCAAAAAATACTACTAATTTTCACTCACTAACCTTTGTCTTGCACCAGTATTTCCAGCTCTTCTCGAATCCCATCATACCAGCTGGTGATGTCCACATGGAGAGAGTAATCACAACAGGATTTGGTGTCAGCTGCCTCATGCCACTTCTCAAAGGAGGTCAGTAAACTCGATCCAGGTTCTGGAAACACGTGGTCAACTGAAAAAAGAGATTCAGTGTCTGTTACCCAGACTGCACACTGTTCAGATTTCCTCAGTGCCTGTGAGTAAGTAGCCTGAAAGCATCTCAGCCAAAACAGCAGCCTCGGAGGCAGTTTGTGCGCACACTGTAACTTTGGGATGTTAGCCAGATCCTGCTGTCTCAGGTATAGCAGAGTTTGTGGACAGTCTATACTAAAGCTGAGTCTGGCAACCTGCTTGGTGCAGCACCAATAGACACACAGTGGGAGTTCCAAACACCTCACAGTTTAGGGAACACTCGTTTTTCCCTTTACTGTTTTGTAAGAGACCACAAGTTCTGGACGTACCAGTATTTATTGTCTGATATGTCTGTTTCTATGTATTTCACAGTAAGCATTATTATCAACCAGTGCCTCCTAGTCATTGAATTGGCCCACTCTGCCTTACCAATGTATCAATGGAGATGTAAAATGTTTCTCAGCAGCCAGAATTGGGAAAACAGCCAAAGGTCTGAAAAGAGATGATGTAGAGCACAAACACTCAGCCACACTATATGGCAGATCGAGCATGCTGCAACTATGCATCTTCACTGTCTCAAAGCTTTCTGCATCTGATTATGCCACAATGTTTACTTACACGAAATAAAGACATGACTACTTATGCATATATACTTAGCTTTGCAGGGCTAGGTCAAAAGTAAGTAGGGAAACAAAGCAAGATGGGCTTATTAGTGGCATGGACAGGAAGCCTCAACTGAAGAACATACACTGAAAAAATTATTAACAAAAGTAATGAACAGCAGTGCATTTTGTGCTTATTGCCAGAGATCCTTTAGCTGATACTTGTTGTTGAACATAGGTAACAGATAACACCACTCAGCAAAAAAAGCCACATTGCAATTCAGTGGGAGTAAAACCTCACTGGGCATCTCCTCTGCACAAGGAAGCTAGGACAATTTATGTCACATGAACAACTGCCTTGCACAGTCTAACCAAGGGCCAAGCCACCGCTAGTAGGAAAGAGTTAAATCTTGTCCTGCCATGTGGTAGACAGAAGAAGGGTCTTTAACAACTAGAAGCATGTCTCCCTTCCACCAAGAACAACGCTCCTCCAGAACATCTCTGGTAAGGAATTCCTCAATTCCTGGTGCCAAATCCAAGTTCATAAAGAAGCATCGTGTTATTCCCAAAGCCCCTGAAATGTCACTAGGTGGGAATAGCAGACCTCGGTCAAGATTTTCTGTGCCATATATTTACAGCACTAACTACACTGTTTTTCAAAAATACCAAGAGTAGGTATATTATCCCTCAGTGCTTACTCTGTATTTCAGAGGGAAATCCAAAAGACAATTCTCTATGCCACTGTTTCTTTCTGAGGGTAGGTCCATTTTCAGGCCAGCCCTGGGTGACAATGATGAATGGACCTCCAACAACAGTGCCCAGAAATTTGAAGATTCATTGCAGGAGATCTCAGAAAATTGTTATGGAGCCTTCTGTAGCTATCCCCGCATGTGGTATATGAGCTTCAGCCTAGGGTGGGAAGAGTTAGTATTGCTAGTACTCACTGATCATGGTGGTGCCCCCTGCTAGCGCTGCTTTTGTGCCTTGATAGAAGTCATCAACAGCAGTCATTCCTTGGTAGGGCTTTTGTAGGTAAGTGTTGACATCTATTCCCCCAGGAATAACCATGCGCCCATTAGCCTCTATGGTCTTGACTCCACCGGGAACAATCAGATTCTCTCCTATTTGCCTAGGCATCAAGGAAAGCCAAAATTATTTCACTTAAAACAAAGCAGCACAGGGGATAGAAGCTATGTGAGGCACATAGGGGAGAGGAACCTAGAGGCCATAAAGAACTGGGACCCCAAAGGGAAGGTGAAGCTCAAGCACCCGCTCTGGCCACTCTGTACGGCACTGGCAGAATAAAGCATCTGCGAGCCTGCCTAGCTGGGCCACGTGCTTGTCTTGCTTTGCATTGCTCTAGTGGCCAATAAAGAAGCCGTAATGCACCAGCATTAAAAACTGATTATTTTTTTTGTATGATTCAGGGTGAGACTTAAGTGTCTTATCTTTAAACAATTACAAATACACAGAGTTAATACCCTCTTGGGGGCTCCAGTTTTGTATATTAAGTTCTTAAATGAAAACAGAAAGATGCAGATCAAATATGACAGCAACCTGGAACTGTAAATAAATGACAGAAGTGCAAAGCACTTCAGAAAAGAGTCATCATTACTTTGTAACCAAACAATGAAAATGTATCCTTAAAAGAAATCTAAATATGCTAATCTAACATGTCACATATTCTTCATCCTCCTCTTACAATTAAAACTTAGTGAAACATTCTGCATAACTGTGTATAAAAAATGTTCATTAACTGTTGCCATCTCTTCCCCTTCAGTTCTTCAAAACAGGAAATTTTTCTTTCACTATTAAAAATATTAATGTCCCCCACGCTGATATCAACCAAACACCAGATACTTACAATTAAAATACTTCTAGTGTTGATGGACACAACTATGAGTAAATTAACCTTTAACTTTTAAAGTCACATTACATTTTTATAGTCTACTTTGAATGGTGTCAAACAGGAAAAGGTATGGGTCTGTGTGGAAGCCCTGTCTCTGCGTTGTTACATCGCGATATATTTGGGCTTAGAGTTAACTATAAGGTAGTTTAAGTTCACTTAGTCTATCTTGTATCACAGACACACAGTCCTTGTCTTAATTTCCTTTTGTCTGGGATAAAATGACGCTTATCCACAGCTAAAGAAATACCCCAGACATCTGAGCTGCTGAATCTATTTCTCCCATATTAAAATGCAACTCCCACCTACAGAGCAAAACACAGCGACTGATTAACAGCCAATCGCAACAAGCGAGAACAGAAAATGAATATAACCATTAATTAAAACCAGTGAGAAAAACAGGGATAATTATTCACATTGGAATTTGGCCAAACCGCCAGAGTTAATAAATAGCCCCAAGAGGTCAAGAATTTGTTTCATATGCTATGCAAAAATGTCACCTCCAGCAGCTTGGCTCCCCTGGTGCTCCAGGTTTTGGCTGGAGGGAAGCAAGCCATTCGGTTAGCAAACTCCCCGCCAGCATCCTGAGCTGGGGTCTCAGTCACTCAGCGCTGAACAAATCCAAAAGGGCTTACTCTTGAGAGCTGATAATATCACGGCTTGAAGCCGTACAACTCTATGTCTGGCGTCTAATATTCATCAGCACGTAAAACACGGGGAGCATGTCACAACCTGTTTGCAGCTGTGAGGAGTGCTAATGATACCATGACAAACAGGGAATTGATATGTATGCAAAAGCCAGCAGCAGCCCAGCACATCCAGTTGCACAAACAAGTTGCAAGAAGCTTCTCCGCTGTTAAAATCTGACTCACAAAGGCACACCGTAAGGCGTTCCAACCCATGAGCAGATTGAACACTTGTATAAAGTTAGGTGGCCCCACATATAATAATGGTATTGCACTAAATTTCTTTAGTTGAATCCACTCCCAAGATTTTAATCAGAACAATCCTCAATCTTTGTACAGCGTTTTGTATGGCTAAAAAAACTGAACTGGGGAAAAAAAATTTACTATGACCAGTCTCCTTTAAATGTGTCTATGGTGGAACTGCACTCCAACGACTACCACCCCTTCTGAAAGTAATATTAAAGAAAACCTACACAAAAATGTAAAAGCAATTGATTTTTATTTTCTTTCACAATCGACCAGTTCTTTATTCAAGAAAACACGTACCCTAACAAAGTGAAAGTGTGCTAAGTATACACTGAAGTTTTTTGATGACTCACTGCTCATTATTTTCAATGTACGGTTGAGTAACAGATTATTTGGCAATGGCTGAAACATCCATGCTGAAGTGACATGGGACCAAATGGCCTTTGTGGATGCTGCTGCTGCACTATTACCTGTCAGAAGCCTGTCTCATCTCTTGCCCCGGCATCAAAATTAAGGCTGGGAGAAGGCTGATCTTCACTGGCATTCAAGGTTATTTTTATTCTGACTGACTAGAACACAGAGTAAGAGATAATGTGACAGGATTCCTGAATTGCTCACTCGTTACTGCTAAGTGTACGTTAATAAGAATGGGGTTCAGTTACTTGTGGGTGAAAAAATACAATAGCGCAGATAACTGTATTCTAGACACTGTATAAATGATTGAGCTGGCTTTCTGATGCACCAGCAACTAGAAAACTCAGACTCAAGGAAAGTTGATGTTGTCTGCAGTCTTCAGTTGAACAAGCTGGTAAATTCTGTTGTAACCAAGCTGATTAAAGCATAATAGAAACATCAGGCTTCAACCCTCCATAAACTTAACCTGAGAAAGTGGAAAACCTCCCTCAGGACTCCATGGAGTAACTTCTGTCATTATCAAGCCCAGATCTCTTTTAGGCATCTGAGGCTCCCTCTAACCTGGCTCATTGCCTGGTCAGCTCTGGAGATCCCTTCTCCAGCCACCCATCCTGCACACTTGTTAGTCTCCTCCAGCTCGGAGGGACCAACCCTTCTCCTTGGCAGGGATGGAGCAGAAGACAGCAAGCACCAGAGTGTGGGACTTGCCACTTAGCACGGAGACCAGGGCTCATTTCCTCATGTGGATAACAGAGACAGGATAGATGTAGGCAAAATACATTATTTACATGCCAATGTAAATTTAAATTACTAGATATCCAAGTTACTATTTAGATACCAGAGAACTGCCTCTCAGCTGCCGTCTGAGTGTGCAGGGCTTAAGTTTCAAGTAGGAAAAATCCACACGCACCAATGTACCAGGGAACCAGTCTGAGCATTCATAGGTAGGAAAAAGCATCTACCATCCTTCAAACTACAGCTCATCTTCAAACACACTCAAGATTGTATCTACCTTCCTCTCTGCAGGGCAACCTGCAGGGACATAAGCATTCAAAGACCTTATTCATTTAATTAGCCTGCAACAGAAACCCAACCCTCTATTTTCCAATCAATTTCCACTGCAGGATAAGAAAATTAACTCAGACCTTTTATATCCTAGCAAAACCAGGACACTATTGCCTATTCTGGGCTGAGTGGTTGGTGTCTGTTCCATTCTGTGGAAAGAATTCTGTATTATCAGCGGGATCTGCAGCTGGAGAGTTAGGGCATCAACTGAAACGCGGATGCCTGAGGTTCAAGGTCCTGCTCCAAAGGATCTTGAGCAACATTTAACAATGATGTTAAGACATAATTCAGACAATGGGCAGTTTCAGTTGGAGAAACTAAAAGAGACCAGTCCCAGAAAACACAGCGCTTTTCTAGACCGCAGAATTTATCATCTGAACACAGTCAGCACCCAAGCCCATCTCGCACCAGGCTGCCCTCACAAATTAGCTCCTTTGTCAGAGCACGACTTGCTTCCACAGTTTACAAAGAAAAATCTCGGGTCATCTAAATCCAGGAAACCAGGCACAACTCAGGGTATTGAACAGTAAACTTGCCTCCTTGGGCAAAAATAAAGGCATTTTAAAAAATAAGATCTTGCCTGTCTATTCATTATTAATCCTAGCTATCTTGGGCAGCTGAGATATACTTTCTGGAGGTATGGATCCACACATGGATTTCAGAGGGAGTCTATGCACTTAACAAGGGCAGCTGAAAGGTTGCCGTTGCTAACCCACCTACTGAGTACCACCGCATTTCTGGAATCAAGGGCAAAAATTCACAGCAGTTTCAGGCTCTCAGCAGCTCATGCACTTAGTTGTTAAATCAGTTCTGATGCTTATAAGTGTTACTAGGAAGTTTGCATCTGAACAAACAAAAGCATAGAAAAACTCAACTAAAATATCTATCAGAGAAAGCACAACTTGGTTGATTGTTGCTGTTAAGAAAAAAAATAAGTGTTCATAATTTTGTGCCTTCTCCACTTAAAACAATATGCTCCTTTTGCCACTTCTGCAATGCAAGTAACACTGTAGAACTGGAAAGGCAGAGTGAAGTATTCAAAAGAACACAGTCCATGGATAAAAGTGTTTGGAATTTTTTCTGTTATAATAACCTTAATCATGAATAATATAAGTAGACACAGACAAATAAAGAATCAGACTTTTAATCTGATGATAACTTCTCACAAAAAGGAGCTCTGACAACAAGTAGGTAATGAATTATTTACCAGATAACCATAATTATGTTTCTGTGCATTAAACTGTAGCCTCTGGAGACCAAACTTGTTAGGTCACTAGTGAAAATGTTTAGCAGTCAAGAAAAAGGCTTTGATCCTTGTGTACATTAGACTGCTCGTACGCACTACGTAACTTTGCAAAACTAGAGACCCCTATCTCAATGGTTTTAAACTAAAAGAGGGTAGATTTAGGCTAGATGTAAGGAGAAAATTTTTGACAATGAGGGTGGTGAAACACTGCAACAAATTGCCCAGAGAGGTGGTAGAAGTCCCATTCCTGGAAACATCCAAGGTCAGGTTGACTTGATCTAGCTAAAGATGTCCTGGCTCCGTGCAGGGGGCAGGTTAGACTAGATGACCTTTAAAAGTCCTTTCCAACGCAAACTATTCTATGATTCTATCACCCCCACTAAGTCAACGTAGGAGCTACCTGAACAGACATCTCTGTTACTGTTTCCCAGGCTATCGGTAACATGTATTTAATGGTTTTCACCTAAGGAATACTTTCCCAGTTCCTATTACTTTATTACTCAATAAATCAGTAGGATTTTCTTTCTAACTATGTGAAGATTTAAGATCATATACCTTTTCTAAGCAAGAAAAGGGATACATGAGCAATGCATAACAATGTTGGCCCACAGAAGATGCTTCAGCATTAATCAACAGGGTGACCGGGAAGGAGTAGGTCCCCATTAGCACTGTGTAACACAGGGTGTATTTCTGTGCCGTACAATCCTTTACAGCATGGCAGCATTCACCCTGATTAGATGCAGGGGAAAAAAGCTGTAACAAGCCTTCTGTCGTACATGGACCCAAAAAATATCCATTGTCCTTACCATTACTTCTTGAGTTGAGAAGGCCTACTTGCCTTGAGTATTTTAGAAGAAAACAGGATTGAACTGATGGAAAAGCAAATACCTTCAACTTAGAATAAAGAAATTTTCTACTTATCTGATCTTAGGAAAGATACAATGGCAGAATTTCATAATTAAACACTCCTCTACTATGGCCCCACATCTAGAGGTAAATGAGATGCTACTGCAAGACTTCAGCACCATCAAGAAATCACAGTAGTCTATACTAACAGGCATGCAAAAAAAGGTCAATATTTTAAAAAACCAACTTTATAAGTCCATCTTCAAGGTATATGTCTGCATAGAAGGAGTGGTCATCATTGATAATTCTTCCACCTTTAATGAGTAGTCGGTCACTCTGGGGGGAAGAAAAAGGAAGAAATGTGGGTTTGTTGAAATAAATGAACATAATAATGTATTGCTGTTACCAAATAGGCTTATGTTATATAGAAAGCCATTAATATCAAAGCACTTACACTATATAAAGGTCTATGCCATAAATTCATCTGGGTACATATAGACAGTGGAGAAGAAAACCAGTTTCACCATTTATTTCTGACTTTTGGGGTGTGAGGCCTCATGGTCATCATGCTTTTTCCTCAAAGCAGAACTCATTGCACATGGAAACACTTGAAATCCTGCTACATCCCCTTTTTACCACCACTTTACTGTACACAGGCAAAAAAAGGGAAGAGAAGCCATCAGAATAAACTGCCCAACACTGGAATAGCTAAGCTGAGATCACCTGGGAATCTCGGTACCTCTGGAAGAGTAACAGAGCTTGATACGGGAAGGGACAAGGTCAGGAGAGGCTGCTGAGCTCTGTAATGCAGAAATTCCTACTTAGGGAAGCTCCTTTAAGCAACGCCAGCTCAGCATGGTCAGCTCAGCATGGTCAACTCAGCCGCTCCACTGAGGTGGCCACAGGATATGGCCCACAGCTTGTGCCTCCTGTACTGTATGTTAAGACGAACAGTAGAAAGTCTAGTTTCTAGTGGGTATGGAGAACAGATTGGTATTGGTATCTAATTTGTGATTGCTGCAGGTCAAAGGCTGCTGATTAGTTGGGGGCTCCGTACCGAGGCTCCCCACACTGTATCTCACTCACTCCGTGAATAAGGATATGGGCGTGCAGCCTCCAAAGTTTGGTTTACCTGAAACATATCAACAGCAGAGAGAGCTACTGCCTCCTGGTATTTTCTGTGGTGTCAGAAAGCAAACATGTTTTTCCCGTGAAGAACTGTTCAAACACCAAGTCTGCTGGGGTACTGTTCACAACAATCATCTGTTTCCATTTTTCTCTATTCAAATGGTTACACTCTGTTCTCAAAAAATACATTTTACAGAAAGAAAATTTTACCACGGCATATTCCTGAGAACCAGTATTTGAACTCCCTCATTGAAGAAGTCATACTGGAAATGCCAGCATCCTACCACCTACTCAAAGACAGGAAAAGCCTGTAACTTCGGTACCGTGCTGGTTTTGGGTGGGATACAGTTAATTTTCTTCACATTAGCTAGTACAGGGCTGTGTTTCCGATTTCTGCTGGAAAGTGTGTTGGTAAAACGGGGATGTTTTAGTTACTGCTGAGCAGTGCTGACACAAGAGTCAAGGCCTTTGCCACCCCTCACAGCACCCCACCAGCAAGGAGGCTGGGGGTGCACAAGAAGCTGGGAGGGGACACAACTGGGACAGCTGACCCCCACTGACCAGAGGGATATTCCGTACCATATGATGTCATGCTCAGTAGTAGAAATAGGAGGAAGGTTGGCTGGGAGGTGCTGCTGCTGGGGGACTGGCCAGGCATCAGTTGGTTGGTGGTGAGCAATTGTTTTCATTTGCATCACTTGTCTTTATTGGGTATCAACTCCCTCTCTTTATTATTTTCCTTTTCATTACTATTATTACTATTATTATTGTTGTTGTTGTTATTGTTGTTGTTGTTGTTGTTGTTGTTGTTATTATTATTATTATTACTTTAATTTTAATTTAATTTCATTTCATTTCATTTCATTTCATTTCATTTCATTTCCATTATTAAACTGTTCTCATCTCAACCCATGGGTTTTCTCATTTTTACCCTTCCAATTCTTTCCCCCATCCCGCTGTGGGGGAGCAAGCGAGCAGCTGCCTGGGACTTTAGTTGCCAGCTGGGGTTAAACCACAACAAGTACATAACGCTTTTGGAAAGACTTTTGCCAAGTGACTGTGAATGCTGAAAGCATCTAAAGCAGTCAGAACCTTCTTTTCCCATTCATATATAAAAAAGCCATTTATTGTAAATTATTTCCTTGGCTCACTAAACAATAACTCAGAATCTCCATTTTGTCCATGTTTTATACTTCTCACTCCAGATTCAATTCCTGGTTTAATTACAGGATGACTCATGCATATAAACCATGCATGTCCCAAGTTCCCAGTTTAGAAAACAATTAAACAAGTTGATGTGTTTCCTCATCTATAAAACCAGGACAACAATATAGACCTCCTAAAAAGTTACTGAATAAAAAGTGCTGTGTCAGAGCTAGGGGTGTTATAATAACCTTTCTTCAATGTAACTTCTCAGTAATATGTAGCATATTTACTTTTCGGCTTGTATTTGAACATTTTGCAGGTTCAAAGCTTCCATATCATTCTAGAAAAGCAAAAAGGGAGAAATGGGCATTTTAAGGGGAGAAAGGAAGAGGAAAAAGACATTTTAAATACAGTCAGTGACAAAAGAATATGTTTGAAACTTTTCTCCGTGTGCTGCAGCAGCAAGATGACCTTGGGGGGGAACCAAGGCACAGAACTACAATGAAATATGTCCCCAGGACCTGCCTCAGATGATGGTACCCTCTTGTTACAGGATGGAGACGAATGCAAGTCCTCAGCCCAGAATTTGCCAGAGCAGGCTCCCTGTTTTCTCCACAGCCTCTCTACTGTCACTTGTAATTGCAGGATTTGTGAATCAGCAGCCTGAATGGTAGTAAGTTAGTTTGCCACATGCTGGCAGCTGCACCTCCTCACCATGATGATTTACTACACTGCCTGCTGACCTGCGGAGACCACCATCTTGTGAGCTCTTTTTAAGCTCATTCAATTGCCTTCCTAAACATTAATACTGTCCAATTACAAGAGGCAAGAGCTTATGGATATGGGCAGGGAACGTTACCAGAGCACTGCATCTGTCACTGCTAATGAGTCAAAAAATCTGCCCGCTCATCAAGATGTTCCAGATTTTATTTCTTTTAAAACAGGAGAAGATGCATAATAAATAGAAACACACGTAACAGGCTGGGAAAATAAGACAGACTAAAATAAAGCAGAAGTACAAGCTCAGAAAAATAATTGCAGGCATAAGGATTTTATACATTTTTAATATCTAAATATACATATGCAAGTGGCAAAACTAGGTATTAGAATAATCTGGAACAAAAAAGGATACAAACGCAGTTTCAAGAAAGTACCCAATTATGTGAGTCATCCATTAAATTAAGCCTGACTTACAGTTTATAAAGGATTACTGAATGTTTAGGTACAAAGTCTCGCCTTCTTCAGAATTTCAGAGGGTCTAAGAAATTCTGCTGAAGAAAGAAAACTGCACATTACAGAGACTTTCAATGTTTTAATTCTTGACACCTTCCTGTGCAGAAGAAAATAAGAACCACTCATAATTGTTGCTAAAGGGAGCAGGTCCTGCACCTGACCTTGCCAGTGGCTAAGGTTGCGTCCAGCCAGGAACAGGGAGATGAAGCCAACAAAAAAATGCAATCTTGATGCTCCCCACTGCTCCCCAGGTAGTCTGCCAAGCCACTACCTGGAGGGTAGCCACTACCAAGACGGTGCTATGGAGCCTCGCCCAGCTTTCATTAGGACCCGATAAATGTGGAAACATCTCTGGCACACATTTTCATTCCAGCAAATCAGCAAATTCAGAAGAAAAAGGGTTTTGCTGGAACTTGTCCCAACCAGCTCGAGCTGTCAACATGTCTGTAGGACACGTTACAGACCGCTGCACGCTGGAAGCACAAGCACAGCAGGGTACCTTTACATAGATGGTGCTGATGGGCACAAGCAACCCAGGTGGGGTTTCAGTGCCACGTGGACCCCTCAGCAGCACGCTGTGTCCAAGCAAACAGGTGCTGCCTCATACACCCTTCTCCGGACCAGGGGTGGCTTGTCCTTAGCCAAAGCAGTGGTACCAAACACCCGTGTGCACCTAACTGTATAGATGCATTTCCACGAACAGGCTGGAAAAATCACACACATATAACTGACTAGCAGGGAGGCGTGGGTTAATGCTGCCACATATTCTTCATGAAATAAACTTTCCATACAAACCCTTGGTCAGCATGTGAGTATTCATTCCCCATATGGGCTTCAGGGACAGGCACAGCCCTGGCCTGAAGGCAAAGGGATGCTGCCACCCTGCACTGCTGCCACGTCGCCTGGGTGTTCCTGCACTGGTTTAGGTCACTGGTACTTGCAGCAGTGAAATCCTGGACTGAAATCTGGGCACACACAGGGCCTGTGAAGCACATTAGCCACCTCAGGCATGCAGCCTAGCTGTGCATGGTCAGGGGCCATTTATTATTTACTGGGGGCCTGATGTGAGGCAGGCTGCTTGCAGTTTTCTTACCAAGTGCCAAATGTCCAGAAAAACTAGGGACCAAAGTCCTCTTCTACCTGGACAATGTTCCAGGCAGGAGGACAGCCACGCTATGTAGCACCCTAGCAAAAGCAGGGGGAGGGTGGAGGGAGGAGTGACCTGAAGCTCATGAATTAATCACACAGCACTGGCCCATATTTTCCCTTCCCAGCTGTAAATCCCTCCAGGCAGGACACTTTCTTTGTCTAGGTCTCAGATGTACCCTCAGCCACTTGGGTGACCTTTGGGTGCTCTCATAATACAAACAATGCGCTCATTACTCAGCTCAAGAGGTGACAATAGTGTAAGCCTTCATAGGGTGGCTGTCACCTTTCTCTTCAGCGAACAGATGTCTCAGTGACTGGTGCCCTGCCTGCTGAGCCCTAAGGGCTCCACACCAAGTTTTCAGTGCATTGCCTGGGACAAGAAGCTGCCAGCCCAGCTCTTCCCAGTGCAAGCCAAGGGAGGCTACCGGGACCCTATCCTCCCTCCAGCCTGTCAAGGACAGACAGCAGGAACATAGCAAAACACAGAGAGAGTATTATATTGAACACAGACACTGAGCAATTCAGTGAGCAATTAGGTGCCAAGACTCAAGGGGAAAAAAAAAACCCTGCTCTTATTGACACGGAAGGCGCAGAAAGCACCACTGTAAATCCATGCCGTCACTCAGCCTTCACTGCGGGGTGCAGGAGCCGAGGTGTTTCTCCACCACCCGCCACTGCTGCAGTGATGTGACCGCATCGATGCAACGCTGTTTGCTTCCGGGTTTTGCGCC